TGTGTCCAAATGTGCCCCCAGGGGAAGAAATAGGAGAGACAATTTCCCTTTATAGGTAGGGTCTGCTGTCCCTTGTCAGCTCGAAGCAGATACTGAAGATGGATTGTGCCCCTTCAGCAACCCCCAAAAAAGAATGTTTTGGAATATTGTCTCTCAGGGGGAATAGCTAGGATTACAGGTGTGAGCCACCTGCACAGGGCCAACCTCTGCTTTCTAACATTCAGCTGAATCCTCTGCTTAGCATAAGCATGGCCACTTGAGGCAGGATAGATAACAGACTCAGGCCAGAATTAAAACAGAACAGGAAGTAAAGTTGAAAAGTCAGAGATGCAAGTTCTCCCCTCCTCATCCTCCCTTCTCCCTTTAGATATTAAGTAACTGGCAAACTCACTGAATAGGTTGAAAAACAAAGAAAAGGCAGGTCTGATGAATGGATTCTTCATCTGAAAGGAACACCCTGAAATTAAGCCTATTATCTCTGTGTTTGGGGTAGGGCTAGGCCACTTATCTCCATGTTTCCAGCAACAATAAGACCCAACTCAGCCATGTTTTGGGAAGCAGACTCACCCTAACCCCATTTTCTCTATGCTTGGAAACAGCAAAATGATTAAGAGTTGCTAGGTAATGTTGATAGGCAGCACTTAGACATGAGTGTGGCCCCAAGAGGAAGAAAGGAAAAAAAAATATTGTAATTCAACTTCCCACCTCCACTAGTCTCTTAAGATCAAGTAGCCAGAAGCCAGGGGTTATCACAGGATGCTTTGAAGTCAGACATTCACCTAAAGCTTATGTATGCACATGTGAATAAATGAAAAAAAAAAAAAGAATTTTGAGAAAAAAAAAAAAAAGCTTAATCCTTTCCTTACTCAAGAGTAATGCAACCAGCGCCAGTGGCTCATGCCTGTAATCCTAGCTACTCAGGAGGCAGAGATCAGGAAGATTATGGTTCAAAGCCAGCCCAGGCAAATAGTTCTGTGAGACCCTATCTTGAAAAATCCTTCACAAAAGTAGGGCTGGTGGAGTGGCTCAAGGTGAAGGCCCTGAGTTCAAGCCCCAGTACCACAAAAAAAAAAAAAAAGAGTAATCCACATCTAAACATCAGCCAGGCCTGATGCTGAAAGTTTACACAGGTAAACTTAACAAAACAAAGACCCAGATCAAAGAGCTGCATTCTTGATGTCTGATAGAGCAAAGACTAGGAATTTCAAACAAAAATTCTCTATCAGTTAAGAGCAAGAACTGGTAGTCCACACAGTTAATCTCTGATTTAACAAAACAATGATGCTTTCAAGTCCAAGAATTCATCCCAAGGACCAAACAGACCCAAAGCTAAAAGTCCATCAATAAACATTCCTACTTTTAAGCCTAACCTGTCATTCTCACCCTCAAGACAACCCAATTTTAGTCTATTGAAAGCGTATTCCTTTTCTAATAAGCTTTACTATTAATTTTACTATAATCTTTGTGTCTTGCTTGAATTCTTCTCCACTGAACACAATAATCGAGGTATTTATCAGCTACCAGCAATATTTTTCTGGTAACAATGTGACCACACATCTAGATGGGAATTCAAGATGGGAGTCCCCAGCTCAGAAAGTACAGACTCCAGACAAGATGCACCATTTGGAGTCTTCTTCACTCCCACCTCCTATGTGTGAAGCAGGAGAGATTTTTCCTTCCTTTTCCTATTTCTCCCTACTATATCCTGTTTTATTAAAATAAATCCCTGCTAACCTTCCACCTTGTGAGACCCTTTTGAGGCAGGCTAGAATTAGGGAAAGTTGGGAAATGTACAACTTAATATTGTGTTTCAGGTTGAACATTCCTCTCTTTCTCTGAGCCTTCTTTACAATTGCAAATGTGTGTACATTATCCTGCTCTAGCTCAGGTACAACTCAGACCCCTTCACCTGGCCCAGGGATCGCCCCACTCATTGATTATTAAGAATCACCAGGTCCTCCCCTTTTAATAAACTCCACTTACACCCAGAGATTCTTCCATGGAAATCTTCTGATCCCTGACTGCCCCAGTGCCATCAACACTTGTCCTTCCCTTTGGTAACACACTGTGAGGAGTGCTGTCCATGCTCAAACACCAAACCCTATAACCGGGTCTGTCGCTGGGCTCTCTGCAGAGCGTTCAGCTTAGGTGCTCCCACACCCTCTCTGATGTGGGCCTCCACCATCTCTTCAAATCCCTACACCAACAAGAAAACCCTTTTTCTCTGTTTTGTTTTTGTTTTTTTTTCTTTTTTGGTGCTAGGGATCAAACCCAAGGCCTCCTGCGTACTAAGTACTGAACTACATCTCCCAGCCCAATAAATCAAACTACTAGCTCAGACTGAGATGTTGGAAACTATGCCATTCAAACCCTGGGCGTAAGCAGGACTGTGACTACTTTATGTTCTATCCTAAATTCAATGCTAGCAATCTAGTATTTTCTTAAAACAGACTGGTTTGATAAGTCAGATATCTGTTTATAGACCTTTCTTTTTATTTCTTCCTTTTGTCCCATCTCCAACTTCATAATGGAATCACCTGGAGCGTTTTTAAAACTCACTAATGCCTGGGCCACACCCAGACTGATTAAATTGTGGCCTGAACATTGTTTAAAAGGTCCCCCAGGTGGGGCTGAGGGTCAGCTCAGTGGAAAAGTGCCTGCCTAGCATGGACTCTGGGTTCCATCACCAATGCCTATGATTCTCTTATATGGCCAGGGCAGAGCTCGAATTAGCATGGCTGCACAGGATCCTTAAAACTGAGGACTGTAGTTTGTGGGGGCACAAGGGGATGATAATTTTAAATGCTATGTCACTCTTATCCTAAGTGCTGTTAGGAAGAATTAACTGGCTGAGAGAGCCCCAGTGTTCTGGGGTCCTCTGTAAGCAAACTGGAACCCAGCTCAGAGTAAATTAACCAATCAGAAACTGCCAGCTGACCTCTGTGAGGGGCTTTAGGGCACTCTTCCACACTAACCAACCAACCCTTTTCTTGGACTTGCTTCTGTGTGCACCTATGGTGTGGTGGGGTAGGGGGCTGTCCAGGACTGAGCTCCTGTACTAAGCCCCAGCAGGCCAGACCAAAGCAGAATGGAGTCACACATACTAAGTGACAGAGTTAAAATGACTTTTGAAAGGGGCCAGTTCTCCAAAAAGACCAGATTCATAGCAACCAATGAGAAGAGGCCTGTCTACCTGACCCAGTGGGCTAACACTGGGGCTAAGGCCTGTACGGGTCCTTAGAAACTGCTCTTGCTGGAAAACACGGACTCCACTTGACCTGCAAATTTTGTATCTGTATCCTATTCATCTTGCTCTCTCCCTCTCTGGACTAAGGGGTAACACCTTTACAAGGGAAACTGCCCCCAAAGAAAGGCACAGCAGGGCCTCCGAGGGACAGCCCAACAGGTAGCAATAACTTTCTCATTGTAAGGAGGCCCCCGACTAATTCTGAGATATGAACAACTGACTACCACCAACCACATCTGTGACTTGTGACCATGACTAGCTGTGACACAACAATGCAGGCCTCCTTCCCCCTGCCCCACTCATCCTCTATTTGTACCTAAAACTCGAGTCTGTACCCCGAAGACAGTCTGAGATGCTTCCTTTGCTTCTTCATGGACACATATGTGCTGTTAATAATCCCTTCTCTGCCCATCCCAGCTACTTGCTTCTTTTATTTGGTGTGTTGGGTGAGTGGCTGGACCTGACATGTGACCCTGGAGTTAGGTTTGTGGCCCAGAACTCTGGTTACAACTTAGAAAGGAACTTTGAAATGACCAACCCACTGCTTCTGCTTTTTTTTTTTTTCACTTTTGATGGTACTGAGGTTTGAACTCAGGGCCTTGTGCTTGCGAGACAGGCACTCTACCACTTGAGCCACTCCCCCAACCCCACTGACCCACTTTGTTTGTGCTTCCCTCTGCCCTTTTCTACCTATAAAGCTGACCTCCTCTGTGTGACTCATCAGAGCATCCACTCTGCTGTATAGGACGAATTGTTCTCTAATTTCAGAATTGCTAACAAAAATCCATTCAATCTTTCTCAAATTTTGGGGGTGCTGGAGCTTGAATCAAGGGCCTCGCACGTGCCCCTCCACTAAGCCACACTCCCGCCATAAGATCTTTGAACTTGTCATTCAGTCTTTTAATAATACTGACAAATGTTTCCCCTTATGGCCCTCAGTAGAGCTCAAACCGCCTGAAACTCATCAATCATTAACTGCTCAATAAACTAAGATTTTTTTTTTTTTTTTGCAGTACTGGGGCTTGAACTCAGGGCCTTCACCTTAAGCCACTCCACCAGCCCTTTTTTTTTTTTTTTCTTTTGTGAAGGGTTTTTTGAGATAGGGTCTTGAGGAACTATTTGCCCTGGCTGGCTTTGAACTGTGATCCTCCTGATCTCTGCCTCCTGAGTAGCTAGAATTACAGGTGTGAGCCAGTGGCACCTGGCAAAACTCTAAGATATCAATGTGCCTCAGTTTACCATTTACTTGGTGGTCCTGGGGTTTGAACTTAGGCCTCCCACTTGCTGCGAAGGTGCTCTACCACTTGAGCCACCCCACCAGTCTGCTTTAAGTATTTTTTGAATAAGGTCACACACTTTCTTTGCCTGGGCCAGTCTCAGCTGCAGTCCTCCTATTTATACTTTGTGGTATACAGGTGTGTACCACCAGGCTCAGCCTATTAGTCGAGATGGAGTTAGTTTTTTTGCCTGGGCTGGCCTGGAACAACTGTCCTCCCAATTTGAGTAGCTGGGATACAGGTGTGAGCCACCATGCGTGGCAATCAGTCTACCTTTAACAGTGCTGACTTCAGAACAGAAATCCTGACATTAGGGGTAACTCTGAACATGTCAGCACCATCAGACATGATCTTGGAAACCATGGAATTTGAGCTGGGCCAGGTCGGTGAGGGTGGCACCTGGTGTGGGAGGTGTGTGACTGTGCCTGTGCGTGCAGGGCAGGTGGCTGATGGGTGAAAAGAAGTGGGATACTCACTGCCGCAGACGTCTCCTGCCTGGAAGAGCTCTGTGGTGAGCAGAACTAATCCATAGTATGAAAATGCATTGCAAAACCTGGCAGGAGCAAGCGAGAACCAAAAACAGAAGGTCAAAGAAACATGAATCCTCCCCGCCTTCCTCACCTCCCCCACACACCAAGGGCCTACATCTGCAGCAGCAGGATCAGTCTGTGGACCCCACTGGGTTTGGGGGCTGTGGAGCAGGAAGGTAGCAGGCAGGCAGGAAGCACAGTGATGTGACAAAGGGAAGTGCTTACATGTCCTTGGAAAAATCCAAAATCCATAGCTGCCCCTCCCCCAAGGCTATCGAAACAACTGGTAATAAAGGAAAAGTTTTCTGGGGATCAAATTTGGAAGGAAACAGTCCCAGTGACATCTGTTGTAGCTTCTGGAGCAACTTGGTGAACTTGGACATGATTTTAGAATTTCAGAGCTAATGTTGTAGCTTGTTAACTCCTGGGTGACTACTGCAATTTGCAGGACCGTTCTCATCCTATGTGGGGACTCCCAAATAATCAGAAGCCAAGGACATTGATCCCCTTGGATTACAATTTCATATAACTCAGAAAACGGTGCTCTCAAAAGTGAGTGTTCTCAACTTTGTCACATACCCCACCACCACCCGCCCTGGTAGTGGGGATCATACATGCTAGGTAAACACTTAACCACTAAGCTGCATCCCCCACCCCAGTCCAACCCTCTTCTTCACAATCCTGCAGCTCCATAGGTGTACTGGGGACATAGCAGGTGTTTAATAAGTGTCTGGTGTGTTGATTCAGCTCATACGAATGCCAGGACAGAGCTGGAGCCCAGCTCTGTGTTTCATAGAAGCTTTTCTCTGCCCTTCCCTGTGACTGACCACCTGAGGGCCCCTACCCTACTAATTAGCCCCTCTGCCAAAAGGTGAATAGGAGAATTGAGAACAAGTTTAAAAAGAACAGAAAGCCTTAAGCCAGGCCCACTTTGTACATAGCAGGTGCTGTGTACCCGATTTGGTAGAGTGTTGAAAGGATGGTTGAAATTTGATTTATTGTGGAGAGTAAGATAATCACTCTCTATAAATGCCTTCCCTCCTGTCCCCTGCCACAACTGTTTAGAAAAATTGAACAAGATCAGAGCTCAATGTTCCAAGAATGGCCATAGTGGCCAAATTCTGGTTCTCAAAACTATGGATCAGGTGCCACCAGTGGTACGAAGGCAATATGGGAAAGGAGGAAGACAATGACCCAGCTGAAATGTTAAATCTCATTGCGGAAAACTCCCTTTTGAGTTTCCTTCAATTGTTTTGGTCATATCCCAGTCTTACTTGTGCGCTCAGGGCCTTGCCCTTGCAGCAGGCGCTCTACCACTTGAGCCACACTCTCAGCCCTTTTTTGCTTTAGTTATTTTTCAGGTAGGGTCTCACTTTTTGCCTGGGGTGGGGCTTTAACCGCACAATCCTTCTATCTAGGCTCCTGCACTACCACTTATTGAGATGAGGGTATTGTTAACTTTTCGCATGGGATGGCCTTGAACCTAGGATCCTCCTGATTTCCACCTCCCGAATAGCTGGGATTACAGGTGTGAGCCACCTTCCTTCCCTGGTCCTATTGAGTCTTCTACACCTGCCTTCCTCCCAGTCTGTCTCATTGCCTTGGTAAACATCAGTATAACTACTTTTACTTTGTTTATCTTTAAGGTCGCTTTCTACCTATGGCCTGCAATTGTGTGTTTTCCTTTAAAGGAGAGAGACAAAGTTTCTTTTAAAAGATGCTTATCCAAGCAAATACCCAGGTAAAGAAATAGATGAGGAAATGAATAGTCCAGGTAATAACCTGGATATGCAGAAATCAGGAGGTGATGTTCAAACTAGTGAAATTTACAAATGCTGCCTGAGAGCAAAGGGTTGTCACAGGCTGGCATTCACACAGAGGCCCAAACCAGGCAAAGTGGCCAACCCACAGGTCTTACCTACCATATAAACCACAGCAACAAAGTCGTCCATCTAAAGTGTGGCGTGAAAAGGTCCCTTATTTTGCCTCGGTCTTCCTGTTTCAAGACAAGGAATGCTGTTTATTCTCTCCCCTCCAGGTGGGGGCCCGGCTGGTAGCATGAGGTCCATGCACACTTATTGCTGGAAGGGAGTTTCCAGTGGGCAGAACGTGTGGGCTCTGAGAAGCCAGGACTCAAATCCATGGCCCCTCCAGCCATGGGGCCATCCCACGCCCTCTAACCTGAGCCCTGGAGCCAGGAAACAGACCCCAGACACCTGGGGCTCCCTACCCACCCATGCAGGACTCTTAGGGAGTTCCATAGACTCAGGAGCTAGAAAAATAAAGGAGTGTGCAACCACTTCACACACAAACACTCACATACACACAACTACCCCAAGGCCAACTCCAGGTCAAGGTTACAGCAATTAATATGCTGAAAAGCCAACTCAGCACAGGCCAATGTGCCCAAGTATTGACTAACTGACCTGTTTGCCAATTCTATAGAATTTAAAAGAATTTATCGATATTTATTAAAGAATTAAATCTTTGCTTTCCAGTGTTCTCTCTGTATGTTTTTGGTTCCTTTTTTTTCAGTGCTGGGGTTTGAATTTGGGGCCTCACGCTTGCTGGGCAGGCACTGTACCACTTGAGCCACTCCCCCAGCCTTTTTCAAGCTTCAGTTATTTTTCAGATACGGTCGCATTTTTTCCCTGGGGTTGGCCTTGGACCACAATCCTCTACCTACACCATCCACCTATTTATGCCTCCCATGTATCTGGAGTTACAACACTCCCAGCTTGTTTGTTGAGATGGGGTCTAGCTTGTTTGTTGAGATGGGGTCTCTCTTTTTGCCCAGAGTTGCCTCAGACAGCAATCCTCCCAGTCTCTGCCTCCGTAGTAGCTGGGATTACAGGGCATGAGCACAGCACTTGGCCTTTTTTTTTTTTTTTTGAGACAAGCTCTCACTACTTTCCTTGAACTTGCAATCCTCCTGCTTCAGGTTCTGGGATTTTAGGTGTGAACCCCACACTTGGCCATCTTCAGTTGCCAATGTGTTTTTTGTTTGTTTGTTTGTTTTGTGGTACTGGGGTTTGAACTCAGGGCCTACACCATGAACCACTCCACCAGTCCTTTTTTGTGAAGGGTTTTTTTCAAGATAGGGTCTCGAAAACTATTTGCCTGGGCTGGCTTTGAACTGCAATCCTCCTGATCTCTACCTCCTGAGTAGCTAGGATTACAGGTGTGAGCACTGGCACCTGGCTCCAATGTGGTTTTATTGCACACCTTTTGCATTTGCAAATCAAATTGGGTCAGTGCCAACAGGCAAAACCAAAGCAGAGGCAGTCCCAACATTCATCTACTCCTCCAGTCACTGGCTAAATTCTCCAGGTAGCATTTTCAGAAGCTGTCAGTGAAATACAGATTGTTATTGCTGAATACCTCCTGCAGGTCCTGCCTACCACACCCACCCACTCCAGGTACATACAGACACACGCACAGAAACAGGTGCAAGTCCATCCTGGATCTACACACTCAACCACCCACGTGCTCACGTGGTCCTCACGCCCATGGACGCACAGGCCCTAGTCACAGGGGACGCTGACCTGTCTGGAGATGATGAGTTTGCCCAGTGGCATGGGAGCTCCATTCTCTGTCGCGATCCTCTTTAAGGTGGCGATGGCTTTTTCCTGGTTCCCAGACAGCACATCATACCTCGCACTCTCCGGCAGCCACTGAGGGGACAGGAGACCCAGGCATGGCCGGTTAGGGTGGGACAGAGTTCCCAGCACACTCATCTGCATAAGGGGTCTGCATGGGTGGGGACCTGGCTTCAAATACTGACTCTGCCGTTTTTATATGGTTGTGTGACCCTGGCTAGTGACTTGTTCTCACTGTACCTCCATCCATAAAATGCTGGTGAAAATGGTGGTGTTAAGAGGATTAAGGTGCCTGGCACTGGTTAACATAGTGGTTATTGTTGTCACAGTTGTCATCACTATTATTTTGTGTTGCCTTCAGAGTTCTGCATTAAAAAGACCACCATCAAAAATCTCACCCTCAACTCTCAAGAAACGCTACTGTATTCAGTGTCACCTTCAAACACAGGCCAAGGGAAAGAAATCAGGAAGACTGTGGAGCCTAACAGAGTCTCAACTCCAAGTGACAGATAAAAACACTTCTGAGAAACAAAGCATCACATGGAGTAGAGAAAAAACAAATAGCAGATGGAGTAGAGAAAGCATAAGACCAGGAGTCAGAAGTTCTGGTTCACACTAGAGTTCTGGTGTTCTTTGACATGTCCATCTGGCCTCCCCGGGCCTCAGTTTCCTCCTCAGTAAAATGGGGCTATAGCAGAAATTGCTAACGCTCACCAAAATTCATGCTTCCCTTACCATGGTGTAGAATTGCCCTTGGATGGGGCTGCCTAACCATGGACTACATTTCCCAGTTTCCCTTGCACCTAGGAGAGGTCATGTGACTTGCTATCACCAATGGCATGTAAACAGAATGTGGCTGGCCAAGATATTTAAGAAGCAAGTCTCCACTTTCCCTTCCCTGGCTGGTGTCTGCATGTAGAAGTCTTCAAAGCCCTTGAGAGCATGTGTTCTACACATGAAATGATGAATGTGTGCCATGCTATCGCTATTGGGTAGGTTTACAAGTAGGATGGGATGAACAACTCGTTTGAGCTCCTGGGTTCAGCTATGCCTGAAGCTAGCTATTTAATCTTCTATCATATATCCATCCCTGTTTTACTCAAGCCAGTTTTTTTTTTTTTTTAATATTTGTCAATTGTGTTCTGTTCCTCATTTCCCTCGTTCCTCAATTTTTTCCTTTATTTTGGTTATATGGATGGATTTTTTTTTTCTTCTCGCCTTTTATTTTATTGTTTTTACATTTACTTACATGTGGATACATTGTTTGTGCCACCTCCCCCTCCCCCTCCCCTCAAGCCAGTTTGAATTGGGTTTCTGTCTCTTGCCACTGAAGAGTCCTGATGAATCCCATACAGTCACTTTAAGTGCAGGGCTTGCAATGATGGGGCCCGCGTCTGTCCCATCCCAGCGCACTCCCTGGGGAATCTCTCCAAAGTATCTATCTGGAGGAAATCTAACGCTCCACTCCTCATTGCCTTATTTTAAAAAATAGTCTTCAGTGGAGGCTTTGGTGTTTTCTCCCACCCCCTCCCCACAGGAACACGGTGGATAGTGATGTGCCAGGAAGGGAAGGAGGGTGTTAAAAGATACCTACAAAACACAGAACAGCAAAGAGGAGGAGTGGGACAGCCGAAAGGATGAGCAGCCAACGCCAGCCCAGGCTGGGCATCACAAATACAGCCAGGACAACCTCGAATACCGTTCCGATGGCCCAGAAGACCTGGCACAGGAGAACGGGGGTCAGCGGCAGGGGTAGCACGGTCCTCACAGTAAGCAATTCTGCGGTCACTGTGCACAAGGGGCCACCCTTTCCTGTGCTCCGTATGAGGTCCATGGGTCCCTCCTGCAGTCCCGTGCACACTGGATATTTACATGGTGCCCACAGCAGTGGCACAACCTGTGAGCTCCAGCAAGGGACCAATACAGTCAGTATTATGTCTTATCAGCATGATAGGTGACATCACACACATTGAGAGTTTGGTTTTGATTTGGTTTCTGTTGTTTGTTTTTTTTTATTCTGGTAACATACACATAAAATGTACCATTTTAACCATCTCTAATTGCACAGGTGAGTGGTATTGCAGACACTCAAAATGTTACCCAGCTATCTGTCTCCAGAATGTTCTCATCTGGCAAAGCAAAAACCATATGCACTAAACACTAAGTCCCCATCCCATCCTCCCCGGCCCCTGGCAACCTCTATTCTATTTTCTGTCATTATGACATTTTTAGTGGTTTTTTTAGATAGGGTCTTGCCACATAGCCCATGTTGGCTTGACCTCTCTAGATAGGCCAGGCTAGCCTCAAACTCAGATCCTCCTGCTTCAGCCTCCCAAGTGCTGGGATTTCAGGAATATGTCACTGCCCCCACCCTGTCACTATGATTTTGACTACTCTAACTACCTCGTGGAAGTGTCTTTTTGTGTTTGGCTTACTTCACTTAGCATAAAGTCCTCTTGGCTGACCAGGCGCTGGCAGCTCACCTGTAATCCTGGCTACTCAGGAGGCAGAGATCAGAAGAATCGAGGTTCTAAGCCAGTCCAGGCAAATAGTTTTCGAGACCCTATCTCAACAAAACCCATCACAAAAAAGGGTTCGTGGAGTGGCTCAAGGTGTAGGCCCTGAGTTCAAACCCCTGTGTCACAAAAAAATAAAAGTAAAGAAATAAAGTATTCTTGGTTCATGCATGATGAACCAAGGAAAGAATGTGTTTCCTTTTTAAGACTGAATACTATTCTTTTCTGTGTATATATTGCATTTTGCTTGTCCATGTGTCCACTGATGAACACTTGGGTGGGTTCCACATCTTAACGATTGTGTACAGTGCTGCTGTGCACATGGAAGTACACACGGACACACTGGTTCTGTCTACTGACATCCATTTCTCTTGCCCATGGTGCCTGGAATCCTTCATCAGAACGGCCTCTTTCCTGAGGCTGCCTTCTCTTTGCCTCTTATTTCCCTGGCTGCCCCTGGCAGGGTGGTCATGCTCTGCTGCCTGTGTCCCTCAGCTGAAGGTCACAGCTCCTCTCTATCAGCCTTCTTGCAACTCTCTGGGTGGCTAGCTGTCTCCTCCCTTTGCTCCTTTGCCCCTGGGTAGGACTGTCCGCTGGGGATATGTAGCCGGTGCCTTTGGTAATGATGCTGATTTAAGGACACTGTTTCCTGTAGGGGAACCCACTCTACAACTGGTTGCCTACTCTAAAACCTGGTCCTCTGGCAACCTGGTAAGTTCTGGAACCTCAAGGGCCTTCCTTTCCTTAAGGGAACCACAGTCCATTTCTGCTGCTGACAACCAGGGGTGACAGTCAAAATGTCTAACAATTAGTATAGCAAGGACACTGACCAATCAGAGTAGACATTGGTCATACACTCCCCTACCTCCATGAAGCCAGGAATGAATTCTTTAGTTACTGGATCATGGGACACTCTAGGAAGTCCAAAGAGAGGACTGAGTGTGTTAGGTGACGTGACAAGAGTTGTTCAAGGTTCAGAATCAGCTAGTCCAGGTATATCTCAATATTTAAACAACTGATTCATCCACACCAGGGTGGACCAGTTGACTGTCACTCTAATTGGTCAGAAAATGGTCAGGATGGTTAAGTTGGGCTGTGAGGTCAATGTGATCAATAATCTTAGTGTGGTCACAGTGACTGGAAGGTCCAAGCGTTTTCCCAATCAATACCATGGACATCAGTGTCCAGCAGAAGCAAATAAAGCATTCTGCCACTGTGTGGAGAGGGCACTTTGAAAAGCTATGGATTTGCCCTGAGATCTTTCAGGTTAAGGTTGGAAAATAGGTCACAGACCCTGGCAGAAGGAGGGTTGAGAGGAACTGGTGGAGCCATGAGAGTTTTAAAGCAGCGCAGAGGTGCCCTATGCGCAATCTCTATGATATGGACTAGTCTGGTAAAAACAGCCATGCAGGGTGAAGAGAGGGGCTCGCAGGAATCTGGTCAATTTCAAGCTGCATGGTTCAACCCGACTGTCAGAAGGCATTTGCAAATGAAACACTTACCACCTATCTGCTACCATTTTCTTAAAAGTACAATCAATTGATTTTTCTTGTCATCTGAAAAATTTATCCATACTATATGACAGCCGTGTCAGAATTCAATATAACTATCCATTTAAGACTTTGCATGATATTTTTCTTAAAATCTCCTTTGCTTGTCCTGTGCCTCAGGACACCTGAGAACCTCACCTGCCAGGCAGCATTCTCTAGAGATCCAGCCACCCTCCTCCTTACCTCGATCAGCAAAATACACTTGGCTCTGGCTTTCATGGGGAGGAACTCGGCGTAGAGCGTCACCCTGGGCAAGCAAAGAGACAGAGAGGGTCAAGTTCAGGGGTAGGTGGGAAGATTGTTAGTTTCTGATCTTCTAAGGCAGTATTCCAGCAAGATGGATCAGTGCATACAGCATCACAATTTCCTGGGAATGCAGCTAAAAGTGGAAATGTCTTGACCTTCAAAACCAGACTCTCAGGGATGGCACTCTGGCATCTGCGTTCTTTTTTTTTTTTATTATTGGGGTTTGAACTCAGGGCCTACACCTTGAGCCACTCCACCAGTCCTATTTTTGTGATGGGTTTTTTTGAGATAGGGTCTCGTGAACTATTTGCCCAGGTTGGCTTTGAACTGTGATTCTCCTGATCTCTGCCTCCTGAGTAGCTACAATGACAGGCATGAGCCACCAGTGCCCAGCTGGCATCTGCATTCTTAATTGAGTCCCCAAATCATCCTCAGATTCCATAACTGCTTTCCATAACTCAGGCCTGCCTACAGCACAGTAAGTCTAGGGGAAACAGGGAAAGTCGGTCCAGTTCGTGTTCCTAAGGCTCTTGAGGAATCCAGGCCTTTTATTCTGTACTATGTTCATCCTGGGCCCACTGATGTCTGGCCATGTTTTCTTGGCAGGAGCCACAGAGCCGATGGCAGCCCTTCCCAGAGTATCACGTCACGGGTGTGTGACATCAGCCTGCCTATCACTGGTGATATTAATCCTTGTTGGGGATCAAGTTGCATTCAAATGGGTTCCTCCACCTTAAGTTAGTACTTTTCTTTTGTGATTAGTAAGGACCTCCTGGGGAAATACTCAGAGATCATGTCAATATCCTGTTCATGTGCATATCCTGTTCACCAGCTGTAACCATTTGCTGTTTCTGCTAAAATCAAATACCCCTGTGATGGCAAGAATGTGTTTTCATTTTCCCTCACTCCTTTTGCATTCATTAGTTAATGACCTACTATAAGGAAGTACTTACTTCTCCCTGTGAACTATCTTGTCTATTTATGTATGTATGTATGTATGTATGTATTTTTTGGTGGTGTTGGGGTTTGAATTCAGGGCTTTTGCACTTGCAAAGCAGGCATTCTACTGCTTGAGCCACACCTCCAGTCCTATGTTAGCTATCTATCTATCTATTTATCGTCTATCTATCTATCTATCTATCTATCCATCATCTATCTGTCTGTCTGTCTATCTATCATCTGTCAATCTCCATCTAGCTATTCATTTAATCTTATGGACTTGTGGACTCTGATTTTATCCACTGAGTTTTAACTCATTTTTTTGGTGCTCAGGTCTGGCTAGTGGCTCCTGTTGTCTTTTTGACACTTTGCCATTATTCTTTGAGCTCTTCCTTACTTCCTGGCACAATATGTCCAGCTCCTCTTGTACTTTTCTTACCCCAGCCCTAGATATCACCATTTTTCTCAGAAGCCCTGATACTCTTTGGTGAAGATGGAATTTAGAAACCAAAATTAGAGTGGCCAGTATGCTCAATGCTACTGGGATGTCACTGCTTTTATTTATTTTTGGTTTTTTATTATTCATATGTGCATTCAATGCTTGGGTCATTTCTCCCCCCTCCCCCCATGTCAGTGCTTTTAAAAGGCTCTTTCAGTGGATGGTGCTAAGAGATTCTATCTATCCATCCATCCATCATCAATCTGTCTACCATCTAGCTATTTATCATCTCTATATTGATCTATCATCTATTAATCCAGTTATGTATCATTTATCTACCTAGACAATAAATAATTGTCTATCTCCTCTTTGTCTCTGCCACATGCCCTGCCCATAAATCTATTTCTATATCTTTCTGTGTATAGTTATTTTAAAACACGAGTCCACTGTGATTCTTTCCATCCCAGTCTTTCTAACCTTTCCAATTCCGAGTTAACAATTCTCTTCAAATGAGAAACCTGGGTCTCCTTACCCTCAAAGTGATTACTTATTTGCTCAGTTTATTTGTTTGCACAGTATGACCAAGGTTCCAAATGCATTGGCTGTGTCCCACTTCCCTCCCCCACCTCCTCAGTCTTTGGTGTGCTGGACAGAGGGAATGTTGTCCCACCTCTTCCACTGGAGCCTGGCAGCTGAACTACTAGGCAACCTCTTGCCACACTCCTGGATTGGCAGTGGGGCAAAGGGAGACCAATTTCCTCTAAGCCTTTGGAGGCAGCTGGTGCTGAAGGCCCATTTAGACCTCCCAGGTCAGTGTGGCCCCTTGCAGCTGCCTCTAGTGACTCGCCCCTGGTACGTGGGTACAAAAAGCCACTCCCTGGCCTCGGTGGGATGGAACATGTGGAACCATGAACACTCCTAGGATTGATGGAGCAGTTTGTCTATCAGAGTAGTCAGCTAAAGAACATCTCTGTGGATCTTCGTAGTGAAATATACTAAAATCCGAAGTCAAAACATAATGCTAGCTAACAGGAAATTCTGATACATGCCCTAAGGGAGGATTGAAAGGATTGTTTCTTTTTTGCGGTACTGGAGCTTGAACTCAGGGCCTACATCTTGAGCCACTCCACCAGCCCTTTATTGTGATGGGTTTTTTTGAGATAGGGTCTCTCGAACTATTTACCCAGGCTGGCTTTGAACTACGATTTTCCTGATCTCTGCCTCTGAGTAGCTGGGTTATAAGCGTGGGCCACTGATGCCAGGCTGAAAGCATTGTTTCTAAGCGGATTGAGCTACATAAATTTGGTCAAATACGAATGAATCCTCTGAGGATCTTGCATTTTGTCTTCCATTTGTTCCAACGGGACTCATGTACTGGGTACACATATGACAGGAAATGGATGCTGGGATCACCGCAGTTAACCTGACAATGCCAGACACCAAGGAGAGGCTGGGCAGTACTGTTTGCAGCCCACCAATCAAGCACCAGGGTGAATGATGCATTGCCAAGAGAACAATGGCTGAACAGCTTGGGAGAAGGGTCTCTAACAATTTCCAAATAACTGGTGCCAAATTGTTCAATTGGTCCTAAGGCAGGCTAACAACAAGAAAAATAACCCACCATGGGACTGCTTTCTCTTTACTATTCCCCAGTACCACGCTGAGCCATCTCTAAAGCAATGAATCCCTCTAAATTGTAATCATCCTGGCAGTCATAAATATCTTTGCAAGATAGTGTCCAAAGGGGCACCTCTGAGTCGAGCTTGCCTGGTAAAAGGGAAGTTTGCTCTCCATTTGACCTCTCAGGCAAAGTCCTCTACTTAAGAGCTTATGAATATTGGTTCCATATTACACACATAAGTAAAGGCCTGAAATTAGCATGAACACATGCATAGACTACTTCAAGTCATGTGATGAGGCTGTGCTCATTAAACCTGCCAACCACCGTAGCCCCAGCCTAAGGACTGCCCAGATTTTTCCACCTTACAGCTTATAAATTGGTCTTTAAACAAAGAGATCAATACTTTGAGCCACCTAGCAGAGCCCACACTTTTTATCTTGCAGGGCTTCCTCTTACTCTTTCTTTCCTTTTCTTGAAAGTTTCGCTACTGTTTTGCAATTTGTGTCTCTGTCTAGCTCTCTGTCGAAGTGACATAGGAACCTGGGATGATCTGGACTAATGTCTTCTTAGACCACTCAGCCTGGTAACGGTCTTCGTCCTGAGGTCCTCAAGTGATCAGTGTGTGTGCAGACTGTCTGAAACCACATCCTTGCTGACTTCCTTTTATCTTTCTTGCTTCTTTCACTCTTACAGCTTCCTCCCAAGGATGAGGAAACTTCTCATAAGTCTTTTGCAAGAAGATCTGCTTCAGGCTCTGCTTCTCTGGAGTCCATCCTGTGACACCTTGCTTTCTCCACAGAGCTGCTAGCTTGCCCAAAGTTGGCCTCTACAATACCACAGAGGTATAGACACAGGTGCTTCACCAGTTAAAAGTCTTCCCCAGGTTCTAATCAAAGGCATCTCTGTCCAGAGCAGAAATCTCAGGAGCCTGAAGAAAGACTCGGGCTTCATAGTTTAGACTCTTTAGAGAAAAGTGGGGGGAAAATGCAAATGCACATGAGTCTCATCCCACTTCACTATGAGTGTTCCCATCTCTCTCTCTCTCTCTCTCTCTCTCTCTCTCTCTTTCTCTGATTGAATCGCTACATGAGATCACACTCACAGATTTTGAATCCTATTATTAATTTGATTTGTGAATAAGCGTTTTGTGTCATTTAAACTTTTTTTTTTAACAATGCTGGAGGTCAAGCCCTTGAACATGCTAGAAATGTGCTCACTCATGGAGCTACCCCTACTTCCATGTCATTTATATGTCTCTTGCAACATGTTTTCGAGCACACGCACGAACCGTACTTACCTTAATAACAGCTACCTTACTAGGATCCACTGTGTGCCAAAATACTTTTCTAGATTGTATACACCACTTGGTAAATGTCGCAAACGAATGGGGTAGAGGATTATAAATTACAGATTTAGAATTATAATCTCTACTGTGTGTTTCTTTGCAACTCTAATCCTCATTTACACATCTTTATCTATGTCTGAAAAGTTGTTACTTGAGCAGTACTGTCTATGTAACAAGTTACAAAGTGGAAGTAGCCCACCGAATACTTCCCTGTTTGGATGGTTTCGCAGCTGTAAACACTTCTTTAAACAACCTTAAAGTGAAATCTTTGTTTCCACATGGTTTCCTTAGGATGGATTCCCCTAAGTAGAATTTGAGTCAAGGTCGTGCTTATTTTTTAAGATTTTGGATGTATACCACACAATCCACTTTCCAATTTATATTCCTTCGACTATCTCTATCGAAACCATCAGGAATCTCGTTATCCAAGCTCTAAGAATCAAGAACAAGTTTAGAAGATTGCAACAATTATCACACATAACCTCTTTGACATTTTATTACACACTATGCTTTTATTATTTTTTAAATCAATAATACTAAAATGAGAAGCATGTTTTCCTTCCCCACCAAATTAAAGCCAAACTACCAACCATGCAAAAACGTCACTAGTATATTCTAAGGGCAAAGCTATTTCTGTCTTCAGATGTCAAGGATTTG